ATGATAACAATAAATCTAATAGTTATTGCTTTAATTATTTTAAATCATATTAAATTTAAATACATTACAATATTTTTCTTTTCTATATTTTACAACACAATGCAAAAAATTAAACATATTTACACAATATATATACATATGTATGTACGCACTGTCAGAAATAAATTTACATATGTATTATCTGTTACTATACACATCTTTAATTTCTATACTGTCTCAAACAATTTTACTGCTTGAAGCTGTTCACAAATGCTGCACATAACTTATTTTGAAAACTACTGCATTTCCTCTCAATGCAATTTTATTTTTTACTCACACACACTGAGAAGTGCAGAATTTTGCGTCAAAAACCATTGTACTGCCTCCACGTGTAGTTCAAGTTCAAAGCTGTTTATAATTTGTATTCTTTATTCTATGTTTTGTTCTTTTTGTTAATGCTTACAGTCGACGTCAAAGTCGACATTAACGTTAACGTCAGCATGACAGCGTAGACTGCATCGTAACAAAATTTTTGCAAAAATTTTAACATGACATTTTCAGTGTAAATTACTTTTTATTTTGTATTAATAATGCTGGTGTTTGTATTTACATATGTATGTATGTGTGTATATAAATTTTAATAGTTATTAAATTTTTAATGAGTATAGATATATTTTTATATGAATAAATAATAAATATGACATATGTATGTACAAATATTGAATATGTATGTAACAAAAAGTAACATACAAAAGTTAATATAAAAAACTATGAGTTTTATTAATAAACAAATGCGAATTCTAATTTTTCAATAAAGCATGTTTTTATTCATTCATTTCTATTTGATAGCTTTTTCAAAACAATTTCTAATCGTATTAATCTAAGAAATCATCAAACTTCCGCGTATCTTTTGATGCGTCAGATTCAAACCAACAGTGACGTTTTCATATTTATGTATATACATACTTATATTGATAGACATACATATATATATGTATATATAAATATCAAATAGATAACGATAGGTTTACCGGGAGAGTTAAAGTTCATAATTAAAATTGAATTTTGAATGTGCCTGGAGCATTTATGAATGGAAACTGCTTGAAGTAGTCAAATGCATATTGGCAATGCTGGATTGTAAAAAGAGAAGCTGAACTCACGAGTATTGTATTTGGTGTGCATAAAAAAACAAAATGATATACTCAAACCGAGCGAGCATTTATCCTTGAACTTGGGAAAGTGACAGAAACAGAAAAAAAATGTGTATTAAGGAGAAAACATTTTTTGGATATCTTTTGCGCAATATTCATTGTGCACTAACAAATGTATTGAAATATAATTAACTTTTTTCATATAGTCAATAAGATCAGCATACAACATATAAATGTATATAGTAATACTAATGCGTATATATTACATACATAAATACGTACATAAATATAGTAAAATAAAACTTTATCTCATTAAAAATTATTGAAAGTTCAATATTGCTTTAGGAAATTTTTTAAATTTGTTGCGAAAGGTCACTTATGTTTCACACATTCTTGCTTCTAGGTCTAATACATAACAGTAATTTATAAAAATTTAGTATAAATTTGTTTAATTTTTCTATTTCGAAATCTTTTATGAAAAGTATATTCTTTAAGAAACCAGTGAATAATTTAAATTTGTTAATATATAAAATATGTATAACAATTACAAATAAACAACAACAGAATGTTAATATTTTTGCAAAATAAATATAAGAATATATTACTACGTCTATACGGCTATGTGCCGTTTTCGCATACGCAGTACGTACATTTGAAATTTGAAGTGTTCATCGTGGATCACATTCGCGCATGTATTTTGTTTGTGTGTACGTACAATACGAAAAATAATGGGGTAGGCAAAGGAATTATTGTTGTATGTATTGCCTACAGTGTTGTATACACATTATACACACTCACTTCTCTTTTCTTTTCTTATAGCTTGCAAAGGCGTGTGGTGAATTAGTGACGACACTTGCATTTTTGATTAAATTTGGGTAAGGTTAAGAAAAAAAAAGCGTAGATAGACTGACTATGTGCAAGAGCGGTTACACAGTAACTATTTGAAATGGACAGTTAATTTGACGTTAATTGATATTTTCAATTTTATAAACAAAAAATTAAAATATTCTAAAAACACTTTTTAAGTAAATTAAAAAAAAAAAAAACTAAAAGAAAATTATACAAAAAATAAAAGCAAAGTAATTAAAATTTATTTTAGTTCAAATTAATTTATTAAAACTTAAATAAATGCTTATAAATGCAGTTGGATTTTTATGAGGTTATTTAAAAATCTAATTTATAAATTTTAATTAAAAAAATTTAATGTGTTCCTTTATTGACAATAAACAGCTAACCATATTTTACTTTCTACTAATAGAAAGATTAAAATTCATCAGGCATTTTAATATATAAATATAAAAATTAATTTATTTATATATAAATATTAGTTTATTAAAATATTAGATTTATATTTATCATATTTATTTAAAAATAAATATTAATTTATTAAAATATAAATATATTAATATTTAAATTTAAAATATATATTTAAATATTAATATTATTAAATTATATTATAAATATTATTAGTTAATTTAATTTCAGAAAACAAGTTCGCTAATACGCTATGTTCCTGTAAATGATGAAATAAAAGTCCTTGGGTTGTTAGAAAATGATTCTAGGACCTACATCTGGTTTTCCTTTAATTGAAGGAGCTGCTGAAATTTAACCAAATAGCGTAAGTCTGGTATAAGAGGGTCTGTAATATTAGTAATATCGCTTGTTTATAATGAAGTCTAAAGCGCTTTACGATTCTAAAGCCAATATCAAGAAAATCTTATATTAAAATACACGGACCTCATACGAATGGAATCACAAAAAAAAAAAAAAAATGGAAACAAAATAGTGACATAAAGTGGTGTAGAGATATATCGAATATAGATGGACCTATACGTGATCAATAAATGTTAACAAATAACAAGTCTAGTGTCTAGGCTCTGAGTTACGTTTGAGCATATTTATCATAATTTTTTAGAAAAGGTTTATAACATGGGAATTGTGAAGATTAATGAATGAAGACTATATAGCAGTGTTAAGTTAAGCTAAGCATGTTAAGTTATATGTCCACTTGAAAACTTTACTCTGGCATTGCTATAGCTCTGCAAAGTATTAGCGTAGTCTGAACTCCAGCGTAGCAGAACATTTATATTATTAAAGAAACACTGTATAACAGACTTAGATCCTTAGTGGATTGTTAAGTTAAATTCATTAAAGAATTTTAATCTGGCATTTCTGCAGATCGGCGTGGTCTGAAATCCAGTATAGCAATAAATAAAGATTATTGAAGAAGCATTTTAAAGCAGAATTAGGCCCTTAGAGAATTGTTCGGTTAAAGACTTTGGTCTAGGATTGCTATACCGCTGCGAGATCTTAGCTTAGTTTCCTTTAAGTTAATATATATTCGAAATAATATTTAGCACAAAAAATTTAAGGAAATACCCGGCACAATAGGAAGTATTAGTATGATACCTATTTTCAGCTTAGATTTTTTTGACCAATATATTGTATATTTGTACATATATGAGATACATAAAGCAAAAACATAATTTATAATATTAAACGATGATAATAATAGAAACTTACATAACATGGATTAAATATGAACCTTATAAGAATATCCAATTAATTGAAATGTACAAAAATTTTAGTTTTCTTTTCCGATATATTATTAATTTATTTCTAAAAAAACACAATATTGTTCAATAAACTTTATTTTTAATCCTTTCAATAAGTTAAGAACTGTTTTTTAAAATTTTTTAAAAAGCACAATTTATCTCACAATTTTGGATTGGGTTTTTATTTAATTGGAGGAGATATGGAAACAGGTCCGATACGTGGTTCGAAAATCAAAATAAGAGAACGCGTGTGAAATTACCGTTGGAACGAACGGACGCGAGTAAAATTATTTTTACAAAAACTGAACTTTATGTATTAAATTTGGAAGTCAGATGAAGAAAAGAATTTTTAATATTTGTTTTGCTATCGCTCATTAAGAGAGAATAGAGCACGCGCGAAAGAGAGAGCTATCGATCGATTTGCACGTAACCCGCATTAAGTTTAGTTGTGCAGGTCCCACAATTGTTTCACTGCTTTACTGTTTTCGTTATAACTCTTACTCACTTAATCAAAGTCAATTAATAGTATTTTTTAGGAATCTCTAATTATTTCCAGAATATCTTTTATTTTTTTTTTGCAAAATTCGGGTTTTTTTTTGTTTTTCGCAAAATAAAATATTTTAGTTTATTTCAGTAATGACTTGCACAGTCTCGCTTTTACTCTGTTATCTATGATTATTTAGTTTAATGATCGATTCAGAGGTGCGAAAAATGGATAGATTGCTCGATGGACTGAGTAATAAATACACTCTTTATTAGTTTTTTGTTTTCTTTTTTCGGTTCTTGGGTTTTGGAATGTATGGCTACAGTATTTTTGAAGAACTTTTGAATTAGGTGGTGAGAGTAAGTTGGATTGATTGGCGTATGCGACTATATGTTTATGTATCTTTTCAAACCAAAAGCATATATTCTCATTATTCTAGATTTTCAAGTTTGTTTTTTCTATGCTTTTATTGCAATTGTTGTTGTTTTCTCTTTATTGTTATAACACGCGTGTCACTTAAAACAATATTGACCTAGGCTTTTTTTGTTACATATTAGTATACACTTTGTATATATATTTATACTTTTTTCTTTTGACTTTATTTTTCTTTTTTCAATTTAATAAAATTATAAACAAGTGCAAAATATATATATACATATTTTCAATTTGTTAACTTTTCAAAACAAATTTTGTATGTATTATTAAGCTTCAGTCTTAGAGATTCATTGGGAATAAATTGACAAAATATACTATGTATGTACATATTTGCATAGAATTACATGAAATAAATGTTAAAACATTATAAAAATATAATATTTGTAATAAGTTTACCTTCTTCTTACACTATTTAATTGCACTTTTGAGAAGAACTTTTTTTTTGGAAGGATAATTTTTTTTTTACTTTCGCACTTTTCGTACAATTAAAGATACATAAGGCAAGGCATAAGGTTTAATGCGCGTTAATATGACAAATAATATTCTAATTTCATGAGATCAACCTATAGTTTTTAAATTAACGAACGAAGTCTTTTGTTATAAAAACATTTTTTCATTTACTGAATCGAAAAATAAAATCGACTCAGTCTTCCACTAAACATTTTTTTTAGTTATATTTACACTTTACACAAATTAAAATTATTTCTAATTTATTAAAAATAATTATTAATTATTTTTCAATATTATTCAATATAATTTTTAAAATCAGCTTTTTTACTAAAGCTGCTGAAACGTTGTTACCGCGTTGCGAGTTTGCACAGAAATACGAGCATTGCTAGTATGCCGTATCTTTGTTCTGTTCGGTTATTATTATTGTCGGCTCGAGTTCTGCTGGTGATTTACTCACCGTCGAACACACAACTTTACCAGAAACGCTTCCGTTGACGCTGTTGCTGTTGCTTCTGCCGACGTTTGCGTTACCAAGAATGAAATTTCTTTGCTTCTTTCACAATATAAAGCGTAAAGCTTCTCGTATTGGCTTTTGATTAACGCTGTGCATTGTACCTTCTTATTCGAATGCTATGTGGTGTACAAATGGACGTAGTATATATGTATGTGTGTACGTGCGTGTAAGTTTGTGGTGAAAATGTACGTGTTTATCATCAACTAAAATTGCATTTCAGTCATATGTTTATATGCATGTAGTTATTGTTATGTATGTATATGTACTAAATAAAGCATTTTATTTGTGTATGCATTTAAATGTATTAATAAATGTTGATATTTTTTGTTCTGATTCTGTTAAGCATTAAAAATTGAAAACGTCTTTTGCTTGCTCAATAAAATCAATATTATGATGCTCCTCTCTTGTTTTTTTGTTTTCAATTCTTCTGTGTGTTTCATATGTTCTTACATGTATTAACTGACTTTTTTAATAATCAGTAAATTATTAAGTCTTCTATTATATACATATGATGACTGCCTTAAGTTTTTACTTTTTTACTAATTTAAGTTATTTGTCATTCTTACACTAAGAGTTGAATGTACCTTGCGTGTTGTGAATAATAAATTTGCAGTTCTTATCACTGGAGCTATAACGACACTCAATTAAATAGATCTTATATCGCTTAAAATCTTACATTAACATTTTAATTAATTTTATTTAAGATCCTGGAATGGTAGGAGAATGTTACTTTAATTCGGAAGAAAACCTTCCAACTTGACAGATGTTGGATATAGTAGAAAGAAAATGCTCCAACTTGACAGATGTTGGATTTGGTACCCGGTTGTGAAAAGCACTGTAGAGGACTGACCAGGGAGCAACGGTATGAGGACACTTAGTGCAATTCCAACTATTGGTCGTGCTAGCTGGAAGAGACCATTGCCCGCGGCCAAGGACTGCTCTTGTCTGTAATGAAAAACTAGAATAGAAATAAACAGGATACCAAATCCTAACGACGCGGAGCACCGCGACCATAGTTTATTTTATGTGCCGAGAACAACTAAGTAAGTGAATAAGCTAGTAAGTTTTTTTTAAGAGTACCAGAATGGACTTATTTACACTTATTTAAGTTAAGTATATGGCCCATGTCCTTCCATCAAAATTAATTATCTTATTAACTTATGAAATGTCCTATTGTGATAAAAAGTTATCGAAACCCACAGAGGAAAATATTAAAAAAATAATTAATTTCTTCAAAACGATCAATAAAAAGTAGTATAGAACCTACCTTACAGAGTTTTATTGTCTCTTCCGTAAGAATATATATTCCCAGGAAACTATTCCGTATGTCCATGAGCGCATGGCATTCTATAATGTTCTGCTTTGACTTAAATAAATCTAGACATTCTATAATAAGCAGTACTTTGAACTGCTCTGATATGCACTGACTTCTTCAAAACACAAGTACATACATACATATGTATACAAATTAACAGTTTAGAAAGTGTACATCTTTAACGTTCAGATCTCGATTTGTGATCTGAGCCGCAAGAGCAGGATCAAAACTCATAATCGAACGTATTACTACTACATATGTATATTATATGTACATATTTTGTCATTATAAACTAAATGCAGTAATTTTATTTAAATCGAATAATAAATGTTATAGAAATGTGAACATTAGTTCGCTTTCGCTAGCAACCCTTATACAAATAAATATTCAAAATAAAATAGCATCCTGAACAAAACCAACCGGCAACTATGTGCTTGTCTCAATACAAAAGTTCAAAATAAAAAAACGAAAAATGCACGACCAACACCAACAAGTCTACATTAATATGTACACTGATTTGTGTGTTTGTTTAAACGCAGACAATTTACATTGTACTTATGCACACAACGGCGTTTTCGCTGCTGGCGTTAACAGCCACAGAACAGCTCTGCTGTCTTTAGAACCAATAGGAACAACCTCAACCCTCAAATGCCAAGAACAACAATAAAACTCGGCCACGTGGAGGTGTTGCTACAGTTTTCAACATTTAGCAGAGGCAATGAATTAGTTTTCGACATTTTAGCTATTTCGTTGTAGTAGTGATTGCAATTTTTGAAATTTTCTTAAGTATTTGTAAGATACACTGATGTATGATTTTTATTCACTATGTTGTGTGTATGATGAGGAGTGTTTCTACACATAAACAACGTGCTTTACCTTTGTTATTGATGTAATTCCTACTTTACTTTAATAGAAAAAAATTAATATGTAATAGGTATATACTCATATATGTACACCTTATGTAATAATAATATAATACTATAATTATTTAAAAAGAAATTGTAATTATAATTATAACTGCGAATGTAAAAATGTTTGATTTAAAATCTTCTAATAAGTTACAAAAGTGCTCCGGCTAGAAAGGTATTTGATTCGATACCCGCAGGTGGAAAACGCGGTAGAGGACGTCCGCATCTTCGGTGGAAGGACCAGGTGACCAACGATTTGGGGGCGCTCGGTACTACCAACTGGCGTCAAAAGGCAACTAATCGGGCTGACTGGCAAAGGCTACTCGACGCGGCCAAGGACGACACACGTCTGTAATGGCCAACTAATCAAAAAAATCAATCAATAAGTTACATAAGTTAATAGGGACATATTTTATTTTATTTTTTTGTGTATTTTTGCAGTAGATGGAAAGCATCAATCCCAGTCATAATGTGAGATTTTAACCCACTAAAACCATCTCTTAAAATGAATGGATATAGATATCTATCAGTAATCCACCAGAAGAGAGTACTGAGATCAAGAAGTACTTATTAGCCTGGATTTATTTAAACCAGAAGGGATGAGCGTGGCATAGTACAATTCGAAATTCTAAATAAAAAATTTAAATAGTAAATTTTAGCATTCTCAAGTCTTGAAAATCCTTCACATATACACAAATGAATCGATTATTTAGCATTTACTTATTACATTCTTTTTTGTTCTGTTCAATTATAACCTTCTGCTCAAAAAGTACCCGGATTTTGTAAATAAAACACACAAATTTAAATTTTATTTCAAATTTATTTTATCTTCTTCAAAATATGCTCTTTCTGAAGCGATACACATATGCCAACGCTTAACCCAATCTTCCATACACTTTTCGTAGTTCCTTCGGTGAATTCTCTTCTACCGATTCAATTGATTCAAAACGCTTACCACGATTTAAGTTTCGGGAACAGGAAAAAGTCGCACGGATCCAGATCTGGCGAATATGGTGCCTGAGCGATGACAGTGGTGCCGCCTACAACAAGAATTTTCCATAGTAAAAATCGCTAAATGCACTTGAGGTGGTCTCAAATTAACAGCTGCTGTAGACAAACTAATTGACAGATGGCGCTCAAATTTGTACTATATGTCAAGAAAAAAAAAATATATGTCAAAAAAAATTTTTGAAAAAGGTCTATTATTTAAGGAGTAGTTAACAAACAACCAAATCCGGATACTTTTTGAGCAGGAGTAAAAGTCAGTCATAAAAGTGTAAAACTAGTTTGCCGATATAATTGCCAAAACTTAAATTTATCACATAACTGATTTCCTATATCTCTCTTATGGACTATTTGGTATCTAAAACCCTTAACCCTTGACGGACTAATGCCACCATATAAGCGGCATGTCACCTTTACTTACTGTTCCAATGCCGCGAATATGACGGCAATAATCTATTTATTATTTTTAAGAAAATAAATGAAATTTAAATCTAAAAAAAAAAATTGAAATCATTATGTTATGCTATTATTATGTTATGCTATTTATGCTTATAAATTTTTACTAAATTGAAAATATTTTTTTTCCATATTTTATATCGAAATATTTAGTACACAGTAGCTTAGGCCTGGTAGGAGGAAATGAAAAATAACTGTGACCTGGTGGGAAGTAAATTTGAGCTGTTAAGGGCCACTGTTGATCAAGAGCGCATTAGGCAAAACTAATAAACTAATTTGAAATTTATTTCAGTAGAGATCGGTAATTGTTTCGAATATTTCATTAGTTATTATTATTATTTCCATACTCTACTTGGAGCCTAAGGAATCTACAAAAGTTTTGCACTGGTTTCTGTTTTATGCTATTCCTCTCAATTTATTAAACAACTTGCCCGTATCCTGTTGAACTGTCCTTCTTCACGTCATTGCTGATCTGCCTCTGCGCATAGTCCCCTGGGGGTTCAAAGTAAGTGCAGCATGCAGTGTGTGCCCAATCCAACCATAGTTCTTTCTTCTTATCTCGTTGTTTACATTTGTTCATTAGTTATATTAGAGAAATATTTTTTTTTATTTTACATTATTTTATATTATTATTTTATTATTTTATATTGTTTTATTTTATTTTGTGTTATTTTATTTGAATTTTATTTTATTTAAGGTTATTTAATTTAATTTAATTTTATTTTATTTCATTTTATATTATTTTATCTTATATTATTTAATTTTATTTTATTTTATTTTATTTCATTTTATTTTATTTTATTTCATTTTATTTTATTTTATTTTATTTTATTTTATTTTATTTTATTTTATTTTATTTCTTTATTTTATTTTATTTTATTTTATTTCATTTCATTTTATTTTATTTTATTTTATTTTATTTTATTTTATTTTATTTTATTTTATT